CTGTAAGCGAGTCACTCAACAAAGGCTTCATGTAAGCACCCACGCTCCATGTGTGGCTCTTGACAGATACAAACAAACAGCTCCAGACGCTTCTAGACAATAACACAGATCTATGAGCAGGGCATTTACTCCCTGAATCATGTTCAGGGCAAAGTCAGAAGTATATTTTGCAGGGCGGGGGGTAGGGGGGGTTGTCTTTATTGGTACGGGGGCAGTTCATCTACATATTAATTCCATTGTTTGATAAAGAATGACAAACAAAATGACCCCACGGGCCTGGATGTTTCCAACAGAGAGAAACATGAGAAAATGTTGTGCACAATAGTAATTTGCGAACCTCGGACTAGAGACAACGCTGAGGGTGGTCAGACCAGAAACGATCTTGACTGAGATGAGGTGGTCAGAGATGTTACAGACTTCGACGATGTCGTTTCGTAGCTGTTGACAGATGACAACGCCAACTATATTTTTACTCTACTTAACACTGTGGTAAATGACTTTATAGCCTTCTCCGATATCCCATGCCTTGGACCCCTTCCATTTGGTCTCCTGGATACACGCGATGTCGATGCGTCGGGTCTTGAGGGTGTCTGCCAATTCGTGGCTTCGGCCAGTGAGAGATTTTATTGAGAGTCACACATCCATGACGCGTGGTTGCAGACCACCAGGCACGCTCACTGATGGATGCCAGGTGGTGCCATGCTCCGGGACAGACTCGCAAAGTGAGCGTGCTGCTAGAGTCCCTGCAGTCCAACAACCTTCACTGCTCTGGTGCAACACACAGCCTTACAAATAGCACAAAAAGATCAATAAGGGAGGCAGCAAAAGCTACACAAAGATCCCGCCCCCCTCCCCCGACAGAACCTTTCCCATCAGCACTAAGGTTATCAGGCAGGTTAAAAGCAGCCATGGTCAGCGAGGCTAGGATTGGATGTGGGAGAGAGGACATCAATCAAGAACCTCGACTAGCAACTAGCGCTGATGACAGTCACGTCAGCCTCTCTGCATACACCTTACACTCTACACCCTACCCCTACAAACAGGACACACACTGCTGGGGAGGTTTTACCTTGTGTGGTCACTGTCCTACTCCTGGCAATCTGTCAACATGAAAGTTTTCACGGTAGTGAAAAGTTAGCCAAAAGCCACTTGATGCATATGCTCCTACCTATACAATACTTCTTTCTTTTCTGCAGCCTAATGTGCTGTTTGTTTCTAATAAAGTCTGACAGCTCTTTTAAGCAAAGTCTAAGAGTGTTTTTCTGAACTAGATTCAAGAGTTAATATGGATCATTATCATTATTATTAATATTATTTCACATCGTGCACTAAAACATTTTGGCATATGGTCAAATAACTTCTAATTTTTAAAAGCAGAAAACGACTAAGTAGAGTTAATTAAAGGATTTTTGAAGATAAGAACACAGACCATAAAAACAGACCGAGGGAATGAAGTATGGCAGTCCTTCCTGAACACACCAGCATCTGTGCAGAGAGCCAGTCTGCTGTTTTGCTCTGCTTATGCAAAGGCCAGTCACCTGTCACACACCCAGGCGTGCAGCCGAGCTTAATTGCGACCTGCTGCATCCTGGTACAGATATCTCTCTCTCCTACCGTTCGTCCCGTCATAGTACAGGGTCTGCTTTTTGGCAGGCTGCTTTCCATCTCTTGTGATCGAGGGCATCTTCTGGGGCGACATTGTCGTGCTTCATATCTTCCTTTATCCGGTCCATCCATCGCTTCTTGGGTCTTCCCCGAGGTCTCTTTCCTTCCAGATTGAGGCGCAGAGCCATCTTTGCGATTGATCTCTTCCTCACTTCGGGCAACATGTCCGTACCACCGCAATTGTGCTTCTCTCATCTTCTCTGTGATCGGAGCGATTCCTATGGCCTTCCTGACATCCTCATTCATCACTTGATCCTGTCGGGTGAACCCTAGCATCCACCTAAGCATCCGCATCTCCATGACATGCAGGGTCTGCTCATGCCTGGAGGACGCGGGCCAACACTCCGCTCCATATAGGGTGACAGGGAGAACGACTGTTTTGTAGATCTTCGCCTTGAGGTGTTTGGGCATACATTTATCACAGAGGACACCAGTGATTTGGTGCCATTTCAGCCAGGCCGCATTCACCCGTAATCTGACGTCTGGGTGACTATCGCCATCAGCTGATAGAGTCGAGCCAAGATATTTGAACTGGGTGGTCTTCTTGAGGTCTATGCCATCGATGCTGATGGTACCATTGGTTTGGGGGTCACTTTCCATGTATTCCATCTTTTCTATGTTGAGCCGTAAGCCATTCTGGTCCAAGCGTTCCTTCCAGCGTTGTGCATTGTCTTGGAGGCTTTGCCGATCACTGTCAGTGAGGAATATGTCGTCCACGTAGAGCAGAGTCCAGGGATGAGGTGTCTGCAGTTCTTCTGTCACCACATCCTTGCAAGTGATGAAGAGCAGGGACAAAAGAGCTGATCCTTGGTGTACTCCAAAGTTGATGAAGAACAGTGGTGATATCCCAGCCGGGCAGCGGACAATGCTTGTGACATTCTGGGAGAGGATTTGCACCCAGTTGACATAAGCCTATGGGACACAGTGTGATCGCAGGGATGCCCAGATAAGTTTGTGCGGCACACGGTCGAAGGCCTTCTCCAGGTCCAGGACGACCATGCGGACTGGCTTGTTCTTCTCCCAGTGCTTTTCCATAAGCAGGCAGGCAGCACAGACGCCGTCCGTTGTTCCCCGTCCCTTGATGAAGCTGCATTGATTAAGGCTACGATGCTTCGTAGGCGACTGTCCAGAACATGTTCAAAGATCTTCATTGCATGACACAGTAGTCGGATCGGGTGGTAGTTCTTGCATTCAGAGATGTCGCGCCTCTCCCTTTCCAGATTGGTATTGTGGTGCTGGTCGTCCAAGCCTGCGGTGCCCTGTTCTCCGTGGTGATCTTGTTGAACAGGGCGGCAAGGATCTCGGCTCCTCAATGTCCCAACAGCTTCCAGGTGTCAGCTGGGATGTCGTCTGGCCCAGTGGCTTTGCCATTCTTCATACTCTTCACATCCTTCATGACCTTGGATGCGGTGATCAGAGGTACAGGGCCATTTACGGGGTCTGGGCTGGGAATGGGTGGATGCGGAAATTCCTCATTTGAGATAGTGCTAAAGTATTCATTCCATCGGGCGAGTATGGCAGGAGGGTCACGCAGCACTTGCCCATACGCCAGCTTCTTAGCCTTGATTGCGGTCTGGACCTCCTTGCTCCACCACCAGACTTGCTTGTCCATGAATCGTCGCCCAGGCTTCATTGAGCAGAGGATGGTCGAGGCAGAGGCATGCATTTGGCAGATGAGGTCACTCCAGAGCATCTCAGTTGCTTGGTCAAGATCAATGTTGAGCGATTGAAAGGCTACTTGGAGTTGTTGTTTGCGTTCAGGCAGCCTCCACCACTTGATGTGCTCAGGTCCCGTGGTTCTCTCTCGGGGTTGGCGATGCAGGTTGAGCTGGAGGTTGAGGATAAGTGGCCGGTGTTGAGGGCTGATGGTGTCTGATGGGATCACCTTGGCATTTAGTGTCAACTATAGGTTGCACCGTCGGATCATCCAATAGTCAATTTGGGTTTTTTGACCACCGTTAATGTAACTGGCAAGGTGGCTTAGTCTCTTCCTGAAGGTGTTGGTGATGACAAGATCATGGGCTTCAGCACAGTCCAGAATACGGGTTCCCTCGTCGTCGCGTGTGCCTAAACCATGGCCTCCATGCACTTGTTCGTATCCTTGGCGGTAAAGACCAACATGGCCTTTGAGGTCTCCTCCGACCAGGATGTGTTCGTCGGGGGTGATCATCTGGAGATGCATGTTGAGGTTTTCCCAGAAATCATCCTTTTCCTGATCAGCGCAGCCTGCTTGAGGGGCGTAACATGAGACAACGCTGAGGGTGGTCAGACCAGAAACGATCTTGACTGAGATGAGGTGGTCAGAGATGTTACAGACTTCGACGATGTCGTTTCGTAGCTGTTGACAGATGACAACGCCAACTATATTTTTACTCTACTTAACACTGTGGTAAATAACTTTATAGCCTTCTCCGATATCCCATGCCTTGGACCCCTTCCATTTGGTCTCCTGGATACACACGATGTCGATGCGTCGGGTCTTGAGGGTGTCTGCCAATTCGTGGCTTCGGCCAGTGAGGGTGCCAATGTTGATGGTGACCAGCCGAATTCGGTGAACTATCTTCTTTAGCCTGTCCCGTCCATGAACAGGTAGCCCTAGTCCATTTCCCACGCCATCCGGGCGAAGATGACGCGCGTCGCCTGAGGGGGACGCCCTAGCTTGATCGGTTAATCGGGTTGCAGCTGCCATTGATGCGACAAATCCTGGTGCAGATATCATGTCCCCGAAACTCCTGAATAACACCCACCCACCCCAGGAGAGTCTGCCCCCATGTTCAAACAGCTTATTTTGAAACAAACACTGAAATATTACACACACCGCATCTATATATACACATGGTATCTGGATGATTCCAGCTACATTAAGGTTACCTTCCGAGTATATCCCCCTGCACACACTACATCACCTACTACGAATAATCTTCACAGGATATCTGGGTCATGCCTTGATCATAGAAAAGCTATAGGAGCTATATTTGCACTTTTGTTTGTGCCTCTATGGTTCCCCATTTTGGGGTCTTGGTTTTGATTCTGGGGGGTAATTTTGGGAATAGGTGGTTGCAGGGGTTAGTTGGTCAGCACACATATTTATAAATCACAAGCACTGAGGCTTGTGGTATGCATTCACACTTTTTTTTGGTTTTCAGTTTTTTTTATAGATGTGTGTCTGTAAGACCATGAGAATGGTAAATACTCAAGTTTACTCAAGGGATGGACAAAGTATAGATGCTTGTTAAAAGTTTGACATTATGGTAGTGGAGTGTCACGGTAATGTAAATGTGGGGATTCCCCAGAACTCTGGTGACTCCCAGACCATGGAGGATTTGAAGTGTCACCTGAGGTACGACTCCAGCAGTCGGTCTAGCCGCTTGTAGAAGGGTCGCGAGGTGAAGTAGCCGCTCCAGTAGTGGTCGTCTCGGTCCGCGTAGGTGAAGAAGTCCCCGCTCACCACCGGGAGCAGTGGTGAGCTGCTGGTTAGTGGGTCTACGTCTGCAGTGACCCGCAAGGCAGCGAAGAAATCGGAGATGGTGCCGAACCGGGCCTGGGGGAGGATCAACAATAGCATGATTATACTCAAGAAGGCAGCCGGAGTATAAATATTCCTGTGAGTACAATCTGAAGTATAATTGCGCTTGTCTAAGTACAATCCAGAGTATAATCACACTTGTCTGAGTATAATCATGTCTGTCTTAGTATAACCTGAAGTATTAACATGTCTGTTTGTAAATAGTTTCGAAAAATTTTATATTCTACCACTATGATTAATAAACAGCGTGACATAACCTAAAAACTTGGGGAGAGGTTACCCAGTTGGGATGACACTAAAGTTTCAAAACCAGGGGCTTTTAAAGCAAACACCTTCCAGAGTTGTTGTTGTTGTCGTATTATTATTATTATTATTATTATTATTATTATTATTATTATTATTATTAGACACGAACACAGGGGTAAAACAAGCACCAAGAAATAAGAAATATTAATTGCAGTTTAAATACTTCTATGTATTTCATTTGCTGTGCATCATACCCAGACAAATTACTGCTGATCATGTTGATCAAAAAGTATTACACATACAACAATTCAACAACTGTGAATGTCAGGGCATTAGTAAATATTTAATTAAGAGCACTTTGCACTGTGCCCTTGAATCAAGAAGAGGGCACAAGAGGCCTGTATATCCAGGAAATAACATGGTTCACTCTTCCAGTCCTCTGCCTTGGCATCTCTCGGACGATGCCAGATGTAACGAGGTTCAACTGCGGTGGCATTTAGGAGCAAAAGCTGCTGCCCGCTAGAAGAGGATCCCGTAACGTACACAGTGTCAGAGAAATACCACCAAAACAGCCACCGACCCCCCATAACAGAAAGAAACACCCATACAGAGAAAGCGGGGCACAGCAGTAACCCCCCGGCAACATTAACGAATGAAACCAAAGTATGAAGAGGGAGGGGGAAGAGGGAACCTGCACGTGCAGCTCCGGGTGCGAGTTCATGTAGTCGAAGAGCTTCTGGTAGTTTTGAAACTGCTGGTCCCACTCAGAAGCCTCCGTGTATCGGAAGTCGTCTCCCAGTGGGGCCAGGACCACCTTGGTACGGAACAGCTGGGATTTCTTTCGATACTGATCCAGCAACATGAGAGCCCTTTGGAGGGAAAGAGGGATGAGGAAGGCGGGAGAGAGAAATGCGCATCCCTAGTGAATAAAAATGGATAAAGGATAGAGCCCCTGGATGTGAGCATCAGACAGATTAATAATTCAACTTATGTTACATATCACGTAAATTATACATGTATTCCTATATTTAACCAATCCTCCAAGCATTTTTCCAATACAGGGCCAAGATGGGGGCAATATGCAAACTTAACCAGTGTAAGATCTGTAATTTTTAAGCCCCATTTCATGTAAATGTATGAGATGCGTGGAAAAACATATTCCAGTAAACAGGTAATTATACACGAGCAGTATGAACTTTTTCAGATTGAATCAGATTAAAAGAAAACTAAAAAAGTTTCCTGGCCACATAAAAATGATGCGGACTAATCTGTCAAAAATGTGACATTTTGTAGACAGAGCTCCACATTGGTCAAAAAACCTCTGAAACGAGAGATCTTTAGCAAACCAATATGAAAGAATTCTAGAAGTTTGCTGCTTACAAGAGTGAAACTAATAAAACAAGGAAATGTCCAGAATTTAAGACTGAGATGGGAACACACAATGCCCACAATGCACCATTCATGGACACCTGGTGTGTGGCGGCTATGGGTTCGACTGGCCAGGTTCAGCGGAGTTGTGCTCACCTCTCCTGCACGTTGTCATCCGTGATGGCCTGCGGGGGCACCCGCCAGGGGCAGCTGATCCGCCCCCCGGGCAGCCGTTTGAAATCAAACTGGCAGCAGATCTTGGGGTCGGGGCCACAGGTGTGGGGGATGTCGTAGCTGTAGAAGGGCATCATGTGACAAAGGATGTCTGTGCTGGAGTCGGGGTCTGGGGGCACAGATAGGGAGAGACAGGGCCTTTATCAGCATACAGACAGGGAAACACAGGATGTCTGTGCTCAAGTTGGGGTCTGGGGGCACAGATAGGGAGAGACAGGGCCTTTATCAGCATACAGACAGGGAAACACAGGATGTCTGTGCTCAAGTTGGGGTCTGGGGGCACAGATAGGGAGAGACAGGGCCTTTATCAGCATAC